CTGCCAGGCGTGTCGTCCGCTGGTGAGCGGCGTCTCGCGGTGTCCCGGGCCGACGCGCGGGGCGTCTGTGGTCAACCCGACCTGGAGTCTGGGGGCAAAAGTGGGGCGGCCTGTGGGGCGCCCGCCCTCGGATGCCGGAGCCGCCAGGGGGCGGTGGGGGCGTCGCTGTGGGGTCCGTCGTGGAAGTTGAGCGCGGACCCCCGGCGGCAGTTCCGGGGGGCCCGTCGGGGGCTCCCTGGGCAGAGGGGCGAGGGGTGCGTTCAATGGACTAGGCGTGCGGCCCGCCCGCAGCGAGTTTGACGTGCTGGCCAGTGTGCCGGGGCTGACCGCGGAGCGGGATGGGGAGTCTTCGGGGGAGAACCTGCGGCGGGTGTTGGTCTGAGCCCTAGGAGTGTGGGCACAGGGAGGGGGTGTCTGTGGGGCGAGCACGGGAGGTCTGGGGACAGTGGCCGGGCTTCATGCGCGGGGTCAGGTCAGGGGGCAGTGATGGGGGCGTCCGTGGGGCCCATAGTGGAGGTCTGTGTGCGGAGCCGGGACGGGAAGTCTTCCTGGCAGAGTGTGGGGGGCCCGTGGTGAGCCGGGACGGGGGTTCTCTAAGGAGCCCTGTGTGGGGGGTCCCACAGGACGGGGATGGCTCGGACCCAGAGCCTCCAGATGCGGGGGAGGACAGCAAGTCGGAGAACGGGGAGAACGCGCCCATCTACTGCATCTGCCGCAAACCGGACATCAACTGCTTCATGATGTGAGCCGGGGCGCGGGGGGCGGGGCTGCACCTGTCGGGCCCCATGGCCGGGTGGGGCGATGGTCCAGCCGCCCATCCCCACCGCTCGCCCCTTCCCCTGCAGCGGGTGCGACAACTGCAACGAGTGGTTCCATGGGGACTGCATCCGCATCACGGAGAAGATGGCTAAAGCCATCCGGGAGTGGTACTGCCTGGAGTGCCGAGGTGAGAGGTGGCCAAGGTGAGGGGTGGCCGGGACAGGTAGGCGGGAGGGGCTGAGAGGGGGGAGGAGGAGCCCTACTGGGGGGCTGGGTCAGGGGGAGTAGGGGTACAGTTCTGCGGGCAGGGTGATGGTTCTGTGGTGAGCCAACACAGAGGACCCCACTGGAGGGACCCCTCTGCCCCAGAGTAGGGGGGGAGAGCGCCATTGGGTGGGACAGAAGAGAAGAGGAATAAAGTTCTGAGACAAGCCAACCCCCCCAATGCCAACCCACCCTGGCCCACAGAGAAAGACCCCAAGCTGGAGATCCGCTATCGGCACAAGAAGTCACGGGAACGGGACAGCAATGAGCGAGACGGCAGTGAGCCCCGGGATGAGGGTGGAGGGCGCAAGAGGCCTGCCCCGGATCCAGACCTACAGCGTCGGGCGGGGTCAGGCACAGGGGTTGGGGCCATGCTTGCTCGGGGCTCTGCTTCGCCCCACAAATCCTCTCCACAGCCCTTGATGGCCACACCCAGCCAGGTGAGTGGCTGTGGTGGCTGGGATAGGTAAGGTGATTCCAGCTCAGGCCCTACCTGGGTTCTTGATTTGTGTTCCCGGCCCCTTCCCTCAGCATCACCAGCAGCAGCAACAGCAGCAGCAGCAGCAGCAGCAGCAGATCAAACGGTCAGCCCGAATGTGTGGCGAGTGTGAGGCCTGCCGGCGCACTGAGGACTGTGGCCACTGTGACTTCTGCCGGGACATGAAGAAGTTTGGGGGCCCCAACAAGATCCGGCAGAAATGCCGGCTGCGTCAGTGCCAGCTGCGGGCCCGGGTGAGCATGGGCAGAGCTGGGCAGGGTCAGGTTAGGGGGCCAATGTGTGCAGGAAGAGGTGACTGACGCTAGAATTGGTGCACTAGGTGGGTGGGGCTTAACTGCATATAAATAGGTGGAAAGGAGCCTGGCCTATCCACATGAATGGGGCATGACCTAAGTGCTGGTCTAGCAGGGGAGCCCCCAACCCCAGGTGGGCAGGGTAGGCTAAGTGTTTCTAGGTAGTCAGGCATGTCAGGGCAGGTAGGGCAGGGCTGAGCATGTCCTGGCTATCGGGTCGGGGTGCAGGTGTGCCTGGGATGGCAAGGCAGGCTAGTTGGTGGGCTGGGCACGTGTTGGAGGGACTAGGGAAGAGCCACCCTCCGTCCACCTGGGGCTGAACTGGGCCTTCCTCCTGCCGGCACAGGAATCGTACAAGTACTTCCCTTCCTCGGTGAGTCCAGCCTCCCAGGGCGGGGCGGGGCATGCGGGCAGATTGTTCAGGGCCAGTCCTGAGATTCTGCCCTGCAGCTCTCGCCAGTGACATCGTCAGAGTCCCTGCCAAGACCTCGCCGGCCACTGCCCACCCAGCAGCAGCCACAGCCATCACAGAAGCTGGGACGCATCCGTGAGGACGAGGGGGCAGTGGTGTCATCAGTAGTCAAGGACCCACCTGAGGCTACAGCCACACCTGAGCCACTCTCAGATGAGGACCTACCACTGGACCCTGACCTGTACCAGGACTTATGTGCAGGGGCCTTTGATGACCACGGCCTGGTGAGCAGGCAGAGCATCCCATGGTGGAAGGGTGGAGGTTACAGAAGCAGAATATCCATAATGAAAGGAGAGGAGGCAGAGGGTATGGAAGGCTGATTTGGGAACTGAGTAGGTGGTGGGGTAGTCATGAGTGGGGCAAGGGGGTCAGTGTATGCCTCCCTTGCAGCCCTGGATGAGTGACACAGAGGAGTCCCCATTCTTGGACCCTGCGCTGCGGAAGAGGGCAGTGAAAGTGAAGCATGTAAAGCGTCGGGAGAAGAAGTCTGAGAAGAAGGTGATGGAGAGGGTGAAACGTGTGTGCAAAGGCAGAGGGCAGGGGGCTGAATGGGGAAAAAGGCAGAAAGGGGTGGGATGCAGGGGAGACGGGTATGGGGCTGATTTCAACTCTACCCTGTCCTGACCTGCGTTGTCCCATAGAAGGAGGAGAGATATAAGCGGCATCGGCAGAAGCAGAAGCACAAAGACAAATGGAAACACCCGGAGCGAGCCGATGTTAAGGATCCGGCATCGCTACCGCAGTGCCTGGGGCCTGGCTGTGTGCGCGCTGCACAGTCCACCTCCAAGTATTGCTCAGATGACTGTGGCATGAAGCTGGCAGCCAAGTGAGTCATTTGTGGAGGGTTCAAGGGAGTGGGGAAGTATAGGACAGGGCTTGATAAGATCCCGCTGTATGTCTGCCAGTTACCTGTCTACCATTCAGTCAACCAAGCACCCACCTACCTGTCCACCCATCCATCCACCATTCGGTCACCTGTTTACTTATCTTCACATTTAGTCACCCAGCCATTCTGTCATCTTTGGCTCACCCCACTTACTTGTTGCTTGCCACCTTTCTACCTGCATCACTGCTTCCTGCAGTCGCATCTACGAGATCCTCCCCCAACGCATCCAGCAGTGGCAGCAGAGCCCCTGCATTGCTGAAGAGCACGGCAAGAAGCTCCTTGAACGCATTCGCCGTGAGCAGCAGAGTGCCCGCACCCGCCTTCAGGAAATGGAGCGCCGATTCCATGAGCTTGAGGCCATCATTGCGCGCGCCAAGCAGCAGGCTGTGCGAGAGGATGAGGAGGTGAGCAAGCATGGCATGGCATTGCAGGGCCCAGTACTTGGTCCTGCCTGGCCTCATCATTCCTTCCATTCCATGCAGAGCAATGAGGGTGACAGTGACGACACAGACTTGCAGATCTTCTGCGTCTCCTGCGGGCACCCCATCAACCCACGTGTTGCCTTGCGCCACATGGAGCGCTGCTATGCCAAGGTCAGGGTGTCAGCCTGAAAGGGAAGACGGTGTGGGAACATCAGTGGGTCCTTGGGGGACAGATGTGTTGTTTGAGTACTGTATTGGGAGGGCATGCAGCACACATCCACAGTTTTTTCCATTTGTGCTCATCCTTCCAGTATGAGAGCCAGACGTCCTTTGGGTCCATGTACCCCACACGCATTGAAGGGTGAGTGTGGGTGCTATGCAGACTTTGAGCAAGTAGGTTAATGCTGGGGTCAGAAGTAAAATGTTGGGGTAGGATATCATGATGGGTATGATAGATGGTCCCCTTTCCTTCTCCCCCTTTACTATTCTCTCTCTACTCCAAACCCCCAGGGCCACACGACTCTTCTGTGATGTCTACAATCCTCAGAGCAAGACATACTGTAAACGGCTCCAGGTCTTTGTGCCCAGAGCACTCACGGGACCCCAAAGTAAGGTTTTCCCTCAATTCCTCACATATCTGTCAATCCTCCCTTCCTCAC